GGCTTTCCTGGGAATATATAAGCACCAGTGACATCTGGAGCACATGGGCTACCAGCACATCTCTGCAATATGGAGGAAGACAATAATTGTTTCAACCAACAGTTACGTTTGCTGCACTATCAGACCTGGACACATGCAACCTGACAGCTATCAATTAAAAAAAATTAAGTCTTTTTGAATTCAAGCATGGCAGACCTGCATTTCTAAAGAGTCCCTGAAGAATTCAACAAAAACTAGTATGAGCAATAGTAAAGTATAATGTAAAGCACCAGAGGAAACAAAGGCGGTCTCCCAGGGATGGCCACATCAGAACGCAAGTTGGATTTAAGGAATCAATGAACAACCATTACAGGCAAGTAAGCTCAGTAAAGACTTGCTGATCTGCAGAACACCAAGAAAGAAACAACTGAATTTAAAGAGGAAAAAGCCTCAAACCAATACATTCTAACATGCTAGTGAAGTGAACTAAACCCCAAAACATTTACTATCCAGTTATGACTACACTTATTCCTTAAATAATCAGAGCATAAATAAACCACGCTCCCTGGACATTCAAGCTGGCCCTTTACACCACTGCACCAAAGTTAAACTCTTTTAACATTGAATCAAGCTTCTTTTCTGGAAGGTTTTAAAGTCAGCACCAATGCTCCCCTTAAATCAGTGCTATTGGTCCAGGGGTACATGTGAATCCATAGCAAACACAATTTAGACCATCAGTTGCTGCACCCTTCACTACTGATTAACGAGAGTAAATAGGGACAATGAAAGAGCTCTCAAGCTGTTTCAGTTCCTGCCATTTGTCAAATTTCTAACATTTATTTTTGATCGCTCAGATTAAAAATGGTGAGCAGACTTTAGACGGCAATAAAAACCAAAAAAGTAAAACAGCAAACATGTTTTAGACTATTTTTCCTTCATTCTCTTTTCTTTTGCCACTAAAACTGAGATATGAGCATCTCCTATGCACTATTCTAAGAACAAAATGGGACCAGCATCACAGGACCACTTAATTTGCTCTCAACCAGATCATCTGTTCAACTACACCCAGAATTACCTGGTAACAGGTCACCTTCCTTTAGCAAAGGCACACACTCTGAACAGAAGAAACCATGCAAATTACCACAGAATAATTCAGGTTGTAAGGGACCTCCTCCAGCTCAAAGCTGAGTCTTCTGAGAGAAGACAAGCTTGCCTATGCCTTTATCCACACCTTGATCCCAAAAACCTCTTGACGATGGAGACTACATAACCTCTTTGCCAATCTGTTCCAATGATTGACTGTCCTCATGCAGATGGCAGCTTTCCCATGTCCCTCCTGTTCCAGTATATGCCCATGTCTTCTATCCCTCCATCCAGTATCCCTGTGAAAAGCCTGGCTCCACGTTCCTGATAATGGCCTAACAAGTACTGGAGGTTAGGCCTAAGCCCCGCTCAAGCTGTCTCTTCCCCAGGCTAAGCAAGGCCAGGCCAGGTGGCAGGTACATTAACACAGGGACGATGGGATACTGGAATTTACTCAGGGACATCATGTACCACAAGTCATTTACCTTAAATACACTGTACTTCTTTCTGATAAATGCCAATTCTGTGATCAATCTTTCTTCATTTAAAAACCTCCCACTGAGAGGCAAATTCAAGCAACCACTGAAAGAAAGAAGTGCTTCCCCTAGGTAGCTTTGCTATCATCTTCACAGCAGCTGACTGATCCATGGAGGTTAACAATCTGAAAACTACTGCTCCGGGACCATCAGAAATTTTTGATTCCAACAGAGATCTTCATCAAGTAATTGCTATGGGCTGCACTGTGGAAGGAATTACATTATTCTAATTATGCTTTCAGATCTAAAAGTACTTATGTCTAGCTATGTGAACAGTGGAAGGACGGAAAGGGAAAGAGGGTAAGAGTGACAACACACAGTCTGTTTCATTCAAAAAGTATGAAAAATAAATTGACTTCCCCCTTCTCAGTCTTTTCATTCCTGTACTTCAAATTCATTAAAAGAAATTAATGCAGGAATTATGACAACCTGAAGTAGATGGATTTTTTGGTTACAGATGTCAGCATGTACAAGGCCACTAGTAAACAAAATACATGGGGAGGACTCTGGAAAAGCTTTTGTTGTGCCTACAGTTTGATGCTTGTCTTGTCTGCAACCTGACAACCCAGTAGAGTCACAAAGCATCAGTCACGGTAATTTTCAAATATAGAGACATCTATTGCACATAGCTGAAAGGAAAACACGATGTTTTGTTGTTAACACATCTGCCATTTTTTTTTCCACATAGTATTCTTTATGCAACTGAATTCAAGTTTCTATTTCTTTTCCCCAGTCTGAACCCAAGCCTGTTCAGTTTTAAAGCAACAGAGGAGGCATAGGGGAACTGGAGGGGAGAACTGCTGCACTGTATTTTATAGTTCACCTAACAGGTATTGCAACATAACATTAAATCTCCAAGAAATAACAGAATATAAGATAGTTCTACCTATTTTTCTCTATTATGACAACTGTTTCCAGTTAAGGAAAAAATAGAAGCTGATTTTTAAGTTACAGAAGCAAAAACATCAGATTTTAGTTATACATTCTTCTCTATCAAATCAATCAGACTTAACCAGGTTCATTCATGAACTCAGTAGGAAAATAACATTCACTGTTAATTTTCATTCTAACTAGAACTTCTACCAACAACTGCAATTTGACCCTTGAAAGTTTTCTTGAGGTTCACAACTGAAGTTTTGGACATTTGAAAACAATCAGTACTGTATGTTTGTCAAAGCAGCCAGTTGTGTAAATAATAGCCCTGAATTAGATGAACCAGATGATTTAAAGTCCCCCCCAACCCTAACCATTCTATGATTCTATGAAGACAGCACAAAGTAATCACCCTTGTGCAGTGCTAAATGTGAAAGGACCAAGATAACACTGCTATTTCACATTATACTGCCCCATAATTTTAGGTTTAACCCAGTATTCCTCTATTATTGACTGACATCATTCCAAAAATAGAAAATTTTCTCTAATGTGCTTTATGATCTGCAAGCTTTTCACATGTATATGCAAGGCTGCTTGTACCTCACCTCCATTTGACTGGTATCAGGTCTTCAGTTGAGATCCAAATTTACAAAAAAACGCTGGGAAAAAAAAAGTCACCAGGAGCTGTCTGACAGCGTCTACCTGTCTTACACTTCCAAATGCACGCATTTTCTCTCCTTCTTTGTTTCCTTTCCCCTCCTCACAACTAACAACACTCCTGCTTCAAGAAACATGGTAAGTACACCACAAATATGAATACCTAAACTGTCTGTGAAGCCACAACAGTTAGCAAAGTAACCTGAAAGTAACCATTATTTACAATGTTATTAGTATATATATCATAGTCCTTACACAAAACATATTCTGTATCATCACTAACTAGACAACCTCATTATTACGGACAAAGACAAAAGAAATCCCATGGGAGAACTGCAGAAAGTTGTTCCCACTTTGCACTGTTTGAAAGAACTGAACACAGGTGTTAAAGCAAACCTATTTCAACTCATCTACCAAATAACTTGCAATCATTTTCAGAAGAACCTGAAATAATAATTAGGACCCCAGTGAGAACGCTGCTAAATAGTCCAAAACTGAGCTAAAATACCATTGCACTTTAGATTGTGTTTCACTGATAATGGTAACTATACATGGTAAATACTTCTACATGGAGATCTGTAAAATGCTTGTTTTTACTGCTGCTAAAAGAAAATTTGAAGTCATCAAATAGAAAGCATTGCTCGAACACCAGAAAAAGAGAAATCAAAAGAGGATCAACTTCAGAACACGGCTGATTAAGGAATGAGATTTCACTTTCCAGTAGCAGTCCTGCAACCAATTCCTACTCAAGCATTTACCTGGGCTTTGTTCCACTTCAACATTGTGTATACCACGAATCCAGCTCTAAAAGATACATTTACACTTAAAGTATTGGACTTCAACAGCCTGCATTCAACAGGAAGTTAAATGGGAATTGCAGGAACAGTATCTTGGGTACTTAATGTCCTCAGAAACCTGTACCATACCAACAAAATGCAACATACACTCCTTGCTGCTGTAAATTATAGCAGGTTTAGATTGTTTTTTAAGCTAAAAAGGTGACAACAGCTAATGAAGTAGAAGAAGTAAAAAAAAACAAGAACAAAAAAACAAACAAAAAAAACCACCTCTTGTAGATTCACACCGGAAATCGGCAACTCAAAGGAAAACCCACCCAGCTGCAGCAGATCCCCGAGCACATGCACTTTTCGTAGCTCTCCTCCAAGGAAGTCTGAACCTGCGGGACAAAGCGATTCCACCACTTTAGTCCTCGCATAACCTCTTTGCAAGGCTGCAGTACAGTAAGAGCATCAAGAACACACGAAGAGCACTCCAATGCAGATTTCGGCTACACAAATCAGCTCTGAGATTTCAGCCCCTCTGCTTTCCCTTTCCCCCCACACACACCCCCACCCCCAGACAACAAACTACCGTACACCGATGTGGGAGCACCGGCGGGAACCAGGGGGACGTGCCGGTGCCTCATACCGCCGCTCTCCCAGGCATGGCCGGCCGCCCGGAGCTGCACACTCAAGGCTGAGACCCCTCTCTTCTCCCCGAGTATCAGGACCAGGTCTTCCCCATTCCACCACCGCCCGCCCGCAGGGCCGCACACGGACCCCTCAGCCCCGAGCAGCGCCACCGCCTCATCGGTCTCAGCCGGTAAGGGAGGGCACCGGGCCCCGACCGCCGCCGCGCCGGGACGGCGCTACTGGCGCCTCAAAGACGAGGAAGGTCAGGGCGACTGTGGCAGCCGACTCCAGCCCGGCCCGCGGCGGGGCTGCGGCCGCACCATGGGGCTGAAGCCGGCAACCGCGGGGTGGGGCTGCACCATGTGCCGGTCGCCGGCCGAGCTGAGGGAAGGCCAGAGGCCGGTGAGCGGTCCCCGGTCCCCAGCCGTACCGCTCACGATCTCCCCCTGCCCTCACTCACCCCTCAGCTCCTATTACGGCGGCGGCGGCGGCACCGTGCGCGGCGCGAACCCCTTACCCTCTCTCGCCCGCGCTCCCCACACCACCTCGGCCCACCCCGCCCCGGCGGCCCCCGCCCAGAGGCACGCCGGGAGAATGAGTCCCGCCGGTGCTGGAACGCGCTGTGAGAGCGGCTCGGAAGACTACAACTCCCGGCATGCCCCAGGAAACCGCCCGTCGTGGCTATTTTAACTGGAATGACGGGGGCCTCGCGGCTCTAGCATTGCAAGGCGGTGCCGCGGAGCAGTTTGGGATAGTGGCGGAGCACGGAAGGGCGGGGGAGGGGAAGGCGGGCGGTGTATCCCGCTTCAGTGGTGCGCGCCCAGGAATTTTTTTCAGGCCTGCGGGGCTTCTCCCGGAGGAGCCCGTGGCTCTGCCCGTCCCGCCGCCACCCAGGAGCCGCCAGGAGGCCCTGTCCTCCCGCGGGCCCGCGGTCGCGACCCTGAGAGGTGGCCGCGGTGGAATGGGTGAGGACATCCTCAGCTCGCCCCGGGCTCTCGCTACAGCTGTCCCGGGGTTGTAACCGGGACGGGTGTCACCCCGGAGAGGGAGAGCAAGAGGGGTTGCACCCTCAGAGGGGTATGGACCCCGAGCGAGGAAGGAGGTAATGAGCTGCAGCCACAGCTGCAGATCTCTGCTCATTTCTGAAGAGACCCCCTCTGCTGTTCTGCATCCAGCTCTGGGGAAAAAACACGAGAAGGACGTGGAGCTGTTGGAGCAAGTCCAGAGGAGGCCACGGAGATGCTGGGAGGGCTGGAGCAGCTCTGCTCTGGAGCCAGGCTGAGAGAGCTGGGCTGGGGCAGCTTGGAGAAGAGAAGGCTCCTGACGGGGAGACCTTAGAGCAGCTCCAGTGCCTAAAGGGGCTGCAGGAAACCTGGAGAGGGGCTTGGGACAAGGGCCTGGAGGGACAGGACAAGGGGGAATGGCTTGAACCTGACAGAGGGGAGACTGAAGTGAGATCTTGGGAAGAAGTTCTTCCCTGAGTGTGCTGAGGCCCTAGCACAGGGTGCCCAGAGAAGCTGTGGCTGCCCCATCCCTGGCAGTGTTCAAGGCCAGGTTGGATGGGGCTTGGAGCAAGCTGGTCTAGGGGAAGGTATCCCTGCCTGTGGCAGAGGATTGGAACTGGATGAGCTTTAAGGTCCCTTCCCAGTTAAATCAGTGTTCGATTCCATGACTGTATGTGCAGCCCATGTTTCTGCCTGCAGGACCAAACACACTGAGTATTTGGTGGGTGTCTGTGGGTCTCCCCAGGCACCCACAAGCTCCTGGCTGGATCAAAGTGGCGCAGTTTGGTGCACGCTGGTGTCACCATCACTTTGGTGTCTCTCCAGCTCCCTGGCCACCTCCTACCACCCCACAACAGGACGACGGAGTTGGAACTGAGTGAGCTTTAGGGTCCCTTCCAACACAAACTATCATAGATTCATAGAATGATCCTGACATTAATTTTATCTGCTAGACAGTGAGTATTTTGGTTTTTTTTTAAGTAATTGCTCAGCTTGTTTGCAGTGAAAGAAGTTGGCACAGAAGATATGGAGTGGTAGACAAACACCTTCAAATAAATACTTGCAAACAGATAAGTGGTTTGTCCCACATTACCTCCAGTCGAGTGGCAGCAGGGAGGACTTGCAAGGGTCCAGAAGTCTTCAGGTAGTTCAAACCATAGGGCTGACACTGAAAGACAGCTCAGTGTTGTCTCATCCCCAGCTTGACATTTGGGTCAGCTCTGAAGGTTCCCAGTCCTCTGCTGACAAACCTCTGTGTTACCTTTTTGCTTCCTAGAGACTGCATTGCACAACCATGGAACAAGATGTGTCCACAACGTGTGTCTGGGCTTGCTGTTATTAGGAAAGGCATTAAAGGTAGCTAATTTGAGCCTCTTTCCTCAGCTCTAATGTTGAACTAACAATGTCTTCAACAGGTTTCTTCCATTTAAAAAAGGCACACCTGGGTGCTAGTACTGTGTCAGTGATTGTCTCATGGTTTCTTAACCTGTGTGGCCTGGAAATGGAGACTGCAGGCATCTTATATTCCACCAAGTTCAGGTGAAGAGCAGCTGAACAAGAAAGAGGTGATTTTCTTCCTCTCTCCCCCTTATTTTCTGGCTGAGGTACTGGTTCATGCCTGAGAGAACATGATAAGCTTTTTTCATGGCCTTTATCATACCATTTTCAGATCTCTAGCTGCCAGCCTGAGACGTGTTCATATTTTCTTCACCTTGTGTCTGCCACTGATGTCTCTTTGCCCTGGGGGAGGGAAAGATGTCAGTGGAATGACTGGCACCATCCTGATCACAGTTCTTTGTGGCCTCAGCTTAAGGATTTGTGTCATGAACAAAAGCTGTTTTTTAAATTGTGGAGCCTGTGACACTTACATGAGTGAACAGTTTGTGCACAAGTGAGCATGACCCGTCAAGATTTCTCTAAGAAGGTGTAGGAACTGGGTTGGTTCACACCAATTCAAAGCTGTGAATATACAGAAAAGACGACTTACCATTTGTTCTTCATGAGGAAAGACAAAAAGGAAGGATTTCCATTATATTGTCTTAATGGAGTCCCTCATCTTAACTGATGTGATGTGGAGTCATTTCCAAACATAGATCCTAAGCCTGGAACTTGGAGACTTTCAGATTAAATGGTGTTAATTATCCTTCTGCTATTCTTCTAGTAGCCACTGTAGTGGAATAAGGATCTGTTAGGATGTGACTACCCAGCTAAAGTAGTCCCTTTCTGTGAATGAGAATTTCTGTGTGATTTGGGAGGAAAAGTAGAACTGAGATGGTGAGAGCTGAATGGAGCATCCCGAGATACAGGGAACTGGGTTTGGGGATGTTTTGCTTGTGTGAGAACCATTCCTAACTCCACCAGAAAGTCAGTACATACCCAGAGAGGAGTGCAGCAGTGAAGGTCTGACAGCATATGGCAACCTCCACATACACAACAGCACACCGTTTTTGCTCTTTTCCTGCCTGGTGACTTCCAGATGAGTTGTGGAACCAGCACTTGCTGGCCCAGCATGCCCGTCTGAACTGTTCTATTTATGCTACAGACAGTCAGCCCTTTGAAGTGAGGACTGACTGGACAGCAGCTGAATGATGCTGATCCTTTATCTTTTTAGCAGATGTTAAGAAAGTTATCACTGACAAGCCTAGGCAGCACTGAAGCCCTGCTTTGCTGGGCACTGTGTGCAGGTGGACAAGAGGGACAATTTTTACACCAGACAATGTGCAATCTAAAAACCAGAGAATAATCAAGGCATTGGAGATGGGACCGCTCTCTGGAGGACCTGTGGTTTGGGTACTGTAACAGATCGTCTCCCCCACACTCACAAAGTGGGATGGGACAGTCAGAAAAAGTCATCAGCTCAGTAACTTAATGGTAGCAATACTGAGGTGAACTGAGCAAGCCTGGTGTATATACTGAGAAATCAGTTAGGGATTCACATACAGGAGAGAGGGGCTTGCATTGGAGAGTAGCTTTTCTGCCTTTCTCCTTTTTGGTTCTGCTTGTTACCTTTAGTGATCATGTACAAGCCACTCTGTCCCTACCCACGCATAGATTGTGAAGAACTCAACATAGAGCTCAGGCTACTTTGGTCTCACAGGGGCTCTGTGGCCAAAGCTCCCTTTTCACAAAGACTAATCTTATCTTATTAAATCTCAAAAACATTAGTCTTTGGAAATGCAAACAATGGGTAGAAACAAGTGATTAGGTGCACCACCTTCAGAAAACAATCTTTTGTTATTTAACCCAGAGGTGGGGACCACATGGTTTGTACGGATGCAGAGAGCTGGTTAGATGAAGACTGTACGTTAGAATGCTGTTTTCACTCAGTCTAGCCTGAGCTTCAACCAGTCCTGGTGTGGTATGGTCAGCTAGCTTCAGAAACCAGGGAAGGAACAACGAGAAACCTTCTGCAGATGGTGAAAATGCCACCAGCCAGCTGGCAGCCTGGCTAGCAGCTCTCCCTGTTCTTGGCAGGCTGCATTGTCTTCATCCATGTTGTTAGATTTTAAGATTGCATGACCAAATGTGCCATGGTTGGAGTTTTGTTTCTAGATTTCTTGAGTTACTGGAGGCTGAGCTGGTGAACCTGCACCATAACACTTAGGGAATACATGAGTTGTTGGTGCTTGAGCTCCCCAGCCTGATGCTAAGCAAGAATGCATCATTTTAAGTAAAATAAAATTATTAATCCTCTGGGTTAAAGGCTACAGAAAAACTTAAAAATAGTTACAGGACCCAGAAACAGAGCTGTATTTATCTCCAGGAGTGACTGTTATAAACATAAAATTAAGGCTTTCCCTTGGAACCATAAAAGCCATTTCAAATAAACATTATTCAAGTCTTACAGTGCTAACATTTGATAATAGACACACAGAGGAATGTGGCAAGGCTGGCAGAGGAAACATGCTCATCAGTTAGATACAGGATGCAGAAAGGTGAAGAGTTAAAGCATTTGCACTGAGCAGTAACAGTTTATTAGCACAGTAAGGTGCCTTCATTCAGAGCCTCTAAATTCTCTCCCAGGTCTGCTCCTTTCCTTGATATAGCAGCAAATGAGGGAAAGTGTTCAGTTTTGTCATACTGCTTTGTTCAACATTCCCAGTTCAACTCAAAAATACGATGTTTGAGGCACAGCGGATTCCCCCCCCCAGTTTACAATGATTTGAGACTCGTAGCTCTAAAACAAGCAAACGAGCTTTGGGGAACAGGATTAAAAATCCAAAAACACTACACACTGTTCCCTGCACTAGGTTGCCTCATTGGAGGCTACTGGCACTGTACCTCCAGCCAAAGCACTGCAGGGAAGCTCAAATCCCTCCTGGCTGTTTAGGGCGCCCCTGCCCCAAAAACCACTTGCTCATCAAACCAACTCCTGCGTAGGCAGGCAGTAACGCACTGACAGACTTCAAAACTCCTCTTCCTCACCCTACATGAATGTGAAGCTGTTCATGCCGTTGCAGCTGTGGAGTTCATGAGGAATACAAAAACACTGCAAAAGAGAAGACAAGCCACAATGTTTGAGAAATATGTATATATATATATACACACACACACACATATATATATGTACACATGCAGCAGAGAAACAGGAGACATAACAAAACAAAATATACTTTATTAAAATTAAGCATGTTAGCACCTCAGTGTAGCCTGGAGAAGTCCAAGAGTCCAGCAGTTAACCAGTCCAGCAGGTCTGAATGTTCTGAAGTGCATCCCAATGGTAGAAAAAGTACCACAAGTGTTGTGCCACACATTCTCAAGAAGCTAGGACATACAACCAGTCTCATTTGTGAGGAGAGAGGTTGTGCTGCCTGCTGTCCTGATGGAAGCACATAGATCTGCTGGACTAATTACATATGTGAAATCAGATGGTTATCAGGTACCTTCTTTCCACACAAAACCAACCAAAACAATCCAAACCAAGCAATTAATCCAAAACCTTGCTGCTTTACTTGACTCACAGGAAAATCAGGATATCAGGGGTTGAAGTTAAGAGCTACATATCAGATCAGAAAAAAATAAATTAAAATGAAATAATGGCAAACACTTAGTACATAAAGAGATGTGTAATATGCTTACAGTCAACCATCCACCTTGGTACACATTAATAGAAAAAAGAGCCATGCATCAAATAGCAGGCTGTGACAACCACCGCCTGTAGCTGACTTGGCTGCACCATCACCAGACCAAATCCCACTGTGCCATTGCTCTTCGGTGAGAAAACAACCCACAGTTGTAAAGCTACGTTAGCCAGGGTTACAAAGCTTACAGTATTTTCAAACTAAACAGAACTTCTTACATTTAGAAAATACTTCTAGAAAATTTCACAAAACTGGCATCCTGACCTCGCAAGTGTAATGTGCTCTGGTCATGGGGGAAAGATCTTACAGGGATGGGGGCCCCTGGCTGTTCCTCTCTCTAGTGCAATTATAGGCACACTGTGGTGAACTGCACTTGTTCTCACCACCCACTGCTAGTAAAGCCATACCCCCTTACATACACACTGCCACTGAGCTACAGAAGTGCACCAGATAACCCCTTTTCCTACGCTGAAGTGCTGAGGTACCTGTTCCACCGGCTAACCAGCAGTGTGTATTCAAGCCCAAAGAGTGGCCTTTCTGCCCTAATGCCACCCTCTAACTAGCCAATGTTGATTTGGTTTCCTGTTGCTGAAAGTGACTAACGCTGGCTAGAACCAGAAACTACACAAGCATTCCACATGGTTTGTTACAATAGTTTTAAATCTCAGTTTAGAATACACAAGCATGTTTCAGTAAGGTCTTGCCTAATGTACAGATTATTAGTCATGCTGACTAGTTTAGGATTAGATAGCGAGGGTTTGCAACCACTGCAGATAAAACTCTTTGCTTCTGTTCCATCCTGAATGAAAGCCAAGGATTTCAATCCCAACGTGTTAAAAAGCCTCCATTTCATGAGGAGTTCTTAAGCTGATGAGATAAAACCACAGCTGTCAAATGCCACTGGACTCTGTACCAGACTGTAATCCTTACTCAGTGTTGAGACATCTGTAACAAATACATGTGCACTGCAGAGAAAGCAGAAACTACATATGACAAGCACTTTTTAACCTAGGGATTCTTTCACTCTAGAAACAGCAGTCTTTTATGGCATCAGTAATTTACTGAAGAAACACATCACCCTGAGAGGGTTTATAAAGCTTTCCTCATGCCTCTGCTATGCAAGGCCAAACATGATATCCTTGTTCATTCTATGAAGGGCTCGGTGTCAACCACGCTTCCAGCTGCGCCTTCTCCAGGGTAGTGTTGCTGCTACCTCAGCACGGGCGAATTTATTTGCTGAAAACCGACACCCTACTTCCACTTGGTGGTGACACGGGTCCCACCCGCACCACGAGAAGCGCTTTCTGCCACTGTCGGCACGGAGGGTGCTGATGGGCCCGCTGTAGGCGGGACGCCGGCAGGCGCCCGCACTGCTAAGCTTGGGGAGAACGGTAACGGGGTATGGCACTGAGGCGACAGGGGCCGCCCCGTCTAGGAAGGAAGATCCCTACGGCGCGGGTATGCTTCGGTGGGGACAGGAGGAACCAGGCAGAGAGGGCTGGGATGGGGGCCACAACCTGCGCCGTCCCCTCTCTGCCAGGGCACCTCCCCGAGGGCGGCGGAGACTCCGGAGTGGAGAGCCCCTCGCCGGGCGCCGGCAGCCTCAGACGCCGTGGCGCTTGCGGGTCCCGGCGCTGGCGGCGTGGAGCAGCCGATCCTTCTCGCGGATCTCCTCACGGAGCTGGGCCTCGGCAAGGCGCAGACGGCGGATGCTGCCCTTCATCTCCTTCATCTTCACCTCCAGCAGCGCGATGATGTCGCGCTGCTCGTTCAACTTCCTCAGCAGCTCCTCAGACGTGGTGCCCGACGACAGCGAGTACGAGTGGTCCGGGGGACCGCCCTCCAACGGGCCCTCGTCCCCTGTCGCCGGTAGCCTCCCGGGGCCGGGCCCCACGGTGGCCCCGGGCCCGAGCTCCACCTGCACCGTCAGGTCGATAGGCTTCACGTCCTCGGCCCCGCCCCCTGCCGGGACCGCGACGGCAGCGGCAGCAGCGGGGCCCTGCGCGGCGGCAGCGGCGGCAGCAGCAGCAGCGGGGCGGGGGCGGCGGGCGGCCCGCTGCGCCTTGCGCTCGTTGACGCCGCGCAGCGGGAAGATGGTGGGGACCCGTACTAGGTAGGACTTGCGGCCGCCCTGGAAGTGCTCGCTGCAGACGCGGTGGCCCGTAGTGGGCTGGAAGGTGCTGAAGCAGCCGCTGACGCCCGCCCGGGAGACGTTCTTCAGCCAGAGGCGCCGCAGCTCCTCGTCCTTGGGGAAGGTGTAGAAGTGCAGCGCTTTGTCGCGGTGCGAGTTGTTGTAGCAGCCCGGCACGCAGCAGGTGAAGCCCGGCATGGCGGGGAGGGGGGAAACGGCCGCGGGGGGCGGGGGGGTCGCCGAACTACAGCTCCCACAAGGCCAACCGCGGCCTCTCGCCGCCGGCCGACACCGCCCGCCGCGGCCGCACCGGAACTACGCGGACCACAATGCACCACGGCGACAACGCCGAGCCGGAACTACCCGCCCCACACTGCGCTGTTCCCCCGCCCCCGCCAAGGCCCCGCCCACTCCCGTGAGGCACTGCGCGCGCGCTCCGTTAGACTGCCGTGGGCGGCCGCCTTAGTGGTCTCCAAGTCCACCAACAGCTTGATCACCGCTGCTCGGCTACCGGAGGGGCCGGTATGCCTTCCGTCCGCTCATCCGCCCGCTGCTCAGCCACCAGCGGAGCGGCAGCTAAGGTGATGGATAGGGCCGGGGAGAGGATACGGGAAGAAATAAGGGGAGAGGAAGCCAAGGCGGGACCGGTTGGCACGAGCTGCCCGCCCTTCCCGAGAGGAGCGAGGCCCCCGCGGCCGGGCCGGGGAACCCAGGGTGCTCCTGATGCGCGGGTAGACTCCACAACTCGTTAAAAGTTGTAAAGTAGGTATGCTTTATTCAGCGCTGAGGCGCTCCTCCGAAAACATGCGTACCTCAGTGGTGTTCTTCATATTTATCCTCTAAACTATTACATATTCATGAGGTTACGCAACATGCCTATACATAGTCATGACCCATCCCTGCTTCGTATTATAATGGAGTAAAAGGTTCTTGCTTGCGTAGTGTCTCCTGGTGTTCGTGGGCGAGGGTCTCAAGATGGAGTAAAGGAGTCTTCCCTGAACTTTCCATCTCTAGCCATTGTGCGTGTTCCCTGGTGATTTGCTCGCTGTCCAAACCGCAGAGCTGATTTCAGTCAGTTTAGGGGTCCAGAGAACAGGAGTTACTGTTCCTTCCTATTATCAATAGCCTTGGTGCTCCCACCCTGTTCCGGCAAGCACGGTAAGTGTTGAGCACACATTTGTTCAGTAAGCACTAGTAAGCAGTAACACTGTTAAGCAAGGGGCTTAACCCTAACCCCCCTGTACAACGGTTAACTCTTCACATCATTCCTTGTCCGTTTAATGTGTAAAATGGGCCGAAGACCCTGAATTCTGCTCTCACCGAGTAGCCAGGGCCCTGAGAGCCTCGCATCTCCCTTATGGTTGTGTTCTGCGACGGTTTTGTGCAGGGTTCACATGAGGGGCCATGCCCTCAGGTCTCTCGGGCTTTGGTCCATGATGAGGGATTGTGCATCACTGTGAATTGTCTCCCGTCCGAAAGCAACATGAAGTACTGTTAAAAAAGCAAATGTGTTTTGTTTTTCTAACTTGTTTGGGAATTTGGAAGATGTGTTAAGTAGCTTAGATTGTTATTTGAGGACACATGGTGAATGCTTTTGATGCTAAGGGTCATCTCTAGTGATAAAAATACAGGTTTTGAGTTCTGTTTGTCTAATGTCTCTCTTTAGACCAGATCTGATCTAAAGAAGAAGAAATTGGGCAGAAGTACTTCGATGAAGCTGAGGCTAGCGCCACTGTTGTGTAGCGGTGACACACCACGGACTTTGATCAAGAAAATCATCCACGTCGGTAAGTATCCTTTATTTTCAGGAAAGCAGAGAGGAGAAGGACAACATTTTGGTGGAGTTGAGAACAGATGTTCTTCTGTAGCTTGTTCTTACCCTGTTACGTCAAACAAATACAGACCCTTGTATGGCCAATGTATGTTCGTCCTGGGTTTGGCTGTAACAGTTATCTTTTTCCTTCCCAGTAGCTGGTGCAGTGCTGTGTTTGGGGTTTAGTCTGAGATCAGTGCTGGTAACACACCGATGTTTTCATTGTTGCTCAGTAGCACTTACCCCGATCAAGGACTTTTCAGTCTCATGCTTTGCCAGTGATGAGAGGCACAAGAAGCTGTGAGGACGCACAAGAAGCTGTCAGGACACTTGACCCCAACTAGCCAAAGGAGTATTCTATACCATAGCATGTCATGCCCAGTATATAAACTGGGGGAGTCACCCAAGAGGCCCAGATTGCTGCTCAGATTGGGCTGGATATAGGTCAAGTGCTGAGCAATTGTGTTGGACATCACTTGTATTTATTGGTTTTTTTCCCCCTTTCCCTTTTAGTTTTATATTCTTTTCTCTTGTTATTTCCCTTATTATTAGTAGTAGTTTAATATTATACTTCAGTTATCAAACTGATGTTATCTCAACCCGTGGGGTTTACATTCCTCAGATTTTCCTCCCCATCCCACCTGGAGGTGGGAGGGGAAAAGGGAGGAGTGAGCAAGCGGCTTCCTGATGCTGAGTTACCAGCTGGGCTTGAACACAACAGTGTGAAAGAGGAATCAGGTGATGCAGCTCTGTCTCAAAGACCAGGTCTTGCACTGCAAAGTCATATTCTTTAAAATCCTCTTCACTTAATGTAATTGTCCTGGGACCAAGCACCTAATCCTTGTGCTGCCTTTAGCTTTAGGACCATGAGTAAATCACAGAGGCACACACAATCACAAACTCCAGCGTATAGGACTCTGTTGGCTTTGTCACTGTACAAGCCATCCTTCTGAGTAGAACCCAAATAGTTTTAACCAGTTCTTTTAGCCCATCAATGCATGTAACGTACAGAATATGGTGTAGGTTTGTTACTCTGCTGCATTCTTGCTGGATTGAACTGTGAAAAATAATGTTTTGGTTTGTTGGCAGTTCCACCAGCTTCACCTGTGGTACCTGACATAGCAAAACATGAAGAACCAGAAGCGGCACCAGAAGAAGCTCAAGCAGAACTCCCAAGTGGGGGGCTTTCCAACATGTAACTAATTGTTAACATTTTTACTTTGGTATTTTTTATATAGATATTTTTATTTTTTTTTTTTTTTTTACCCTATAGCTGCAGTTCCGATGCTGGGATTGGGGAACAGGATTTATCTGCTTCTGTTTCAGTGATCAGAATTGTGTTCCGTCCAGTGAGATTTTCATAAATACCTTTCCAGCTTTTAAAGTCACATAGGAATCACTGGAACTGAGGGACTGAGAAGCAAATACTGTGGGCTTGTGCTTAGTCCCCCTTCTTAGATACAGACTTTGAATATCTTTTTGCAGTGGAAGTGCTGGTCAGGAGAATCATAGAATCCCAGACTGGTTTGGGTTGGAAGAGACCTTAAAGCTTATCCAGTTCCAACACCCTGCCACAGGTAGGGACACCTTCCACTAGAGCAGGTTGCTCCAAGACCTGTCAAAGCTGGCTTTGAACACTGCCAGGAATGGGACACAGCTCCTCTTGGACAGCCTGTGCCAGCCATCGCTTCTCTGGGCAACCTATGCCAGGGCCTCAGCACCCTCACAGGGAACAACTTGTTCCTAAGATCTCATCTCTGTGTCCCCTCTGTCAGGTTAAAGCCATTCCCCCTTGTCCTGTCCCTACAGGCCCTTGTCCAAAGCCCCTCTCCAGGTTTCCTGTAGCCCCTTTAGGCACTGGAGCTGCTCTAAGGTCTCCCCATAAGGAGCCTTCTCTCCTCCAGGCTGAAAAAGTCCAGCTCTCTCAGCCTGTCAAGTCTGAAGATCAGAAATCTCTTTGTGGGAATGTACTTTCCTCAGTTGTTTGTGACATACTAAAGAAGTTCTTGCATCTCCTCCAGGCTCCAGGCTGCATGCTGACAATTCTAGTTTGTAACGAGTGACTGCCATGTCTTATATTCAGAGCACAGGCTGCTGTAGCTTTATACAGTGTTGCTGCTTCTTGATTATCCTTGTTTTGGACTGCTCAGGACAACTTTCTTCCTGTAGAGTGGTTTGGAGCTCAGCTGCTTTTAGTCATTAGCTTCCATTAATATTTTAAGTTACTAGGCCTGGCTGAATTGAAGAGGCTAAAGTATGGTTCATTGACTCCATTATGAAACAGAAGAAAGCCAGTAGTGGTGGTAAGTCTTAATCTGCTTTAACCAGTTTTGTCACAACACTGGTGCCAGTTTTTGCTTACTGCAAAACAGACTGTTCTAAATAATGTGATTTCCTTTTCTAAACTCTTAGCTAGCTAAACTCTTTACATTGGCCACAAGCAGCCTCAAATAAGGTCATGTGAAATACTAAGTGAACTTCTATTGATATTTTAATAGAGGAAGAAACACCTGAGTTTTCTGTAAGTGTGGCAGCTTGTTGATTTGTATTTTGTTCTTTTTTTTTCTTAAATTAAAAAAAAAAAAAGCGCAATATTATTTTAGTTCCTTCTTGATTTTGCTTGTTGTAGTTCTTGAGCCTCTTTGTGCTTTTTCTCAGCCTTTCTGAATTGAAAAGCCAAGCCAGCTGATCCTTGCAGGATTCTATATGCCATGTGTTAGCTGGTCGTTGAATGTAAATAGGTGTAGACTTTTTGTTTTAAATCCTTTCTCACAACGTTTGTTTAGTTGATGTGGGCTTTCCTTTGTTTGGACAGGTCCTTCCTTCTTTAGCTGTAATAGTGCATTCCAGGAGAGATATGAAAAAAAAAAACACCCCACAATCTTTTCCCCAGTGCTTCACATCTGTTCCCCATTACAAGCCAGTTAATTCTAACACTTTAGGCTTACATTGTAAGAAATGAAACTTAGCCACACTTCTGAGTGGTAGAGCATGTGATTTGTAAGTGGAACAGATTTGTGAACGCGATGGTCTTACCATTCGGTGCGGTGCTGGCAGCAGCTCACTGCCTGAAGGTCACCTTCATGAGAAGGAAACTCTTGGAACGTACCACAAAAGGGGGACAACAAAACAGAAACTTACTTCCTGATCTTGACCCAGTGCCTGGCTGGGATATGACATATCCACTCCATATACCACTGTGTTCTGTTGTACCTACTGTTGTTTCGTGATGATGGCTTTTTCATTTCATCCCTCTTTGGATGCAGGAGAGGGACTCTTCATCAGTGACCATAGTGATAGGACAAGGGGTGATGGGTTGAAACTTAAACAGGGGAGACTGGGATGAGCTCTTAGGCAGAAGTTCTTCCCTGTGAGGGTGCTGAGGCCCTGGTACAGGTTGCCCAGAGAAGCTGTGGATACCCTGTCCCTGGCAGTGTTCAAGGCCAGGCTGGTTGGGGCTTGGAGCTACCTGGTCTAGTGGAAGGTGTCTCTGCCCATGGCAGGGGGTTGGAACTGAATAAGCTTTAAGGTCCCTTCCAGCCCAAACCAATTTGGGATTCTATGATTTACATTGTAATGATTGCCAAGCCTAATTGCTCCTGTGCACTGTTAGGAGGAGAGTGCTATGGAGCTTGTTGAAAGTTCAAGCTTTTACTCTGACCTTTCTGAACCTTGCTGTTTTGAATATACACTCAAGTTTTGATTCTCCTTGTGAAATTTACTTTGATTTAGTGGGAGGGAATGACATGTTCCTGCATTTGCCAAGCTAATCACTTAGTTCCTTAACTCTGCTGCAGCAAGGTCAACTCATTTGATTTTCAGTGGCATTACAGGGGCCTTTCTAGGGTGACTATGTGACGATATCATCCTCTGTTGAAGGCTTGCTTTGTGTTGGCAGGGAGGAAATGCAGCTGTCAGATCTTGTTCCTGAGGAGAGAGCTGTCTTCGCACCTCATATGAATAAGAAGACAAAGCAACTCAGCATTTCTGAATTTGAGAGAGCAGTAAGCCAACAACTTGTCCAGAACCAAGGTAAGGCCACAGTGAAAAACTGCCTTGTTCAGCACTACTTTTGCTGTCAGTGGATTTTCATCTGCTACAGTTTAGTTCATAGTAACTTCTCAGCTGAGCAGCTATATGGTTGAAAGCAAGATTGCAGCATCTTGTGCAAAGGGCGTAGCAGAGAACGGAAATCCCTTCCTATCAAACTGAAAATAAGCCTTTTTGAACAAAGTTACAAACTCTGCCTGGACTGTAACTACTTGACTCTTTTTACAGCTGGGTGTTCTTTGAGTTTTGAAGTATCTCCACAGATAGCAATCCCTATCTTTCCCTCTATTCCAGAAACTTGAAAATACAGCAAGCTGCAGACTTGACTGCAGTTACATCAAATAAGTTATAAAATTGTTGTTTGGGAAAGAAGGCTCTTATAGCTTTATAAAAGATACAATGTTTTATATTGGATTGAGTCTTCCATGTAAATATAAATATGCAAAATTTGGTAAATATAGTTTTAATGTTAGTTGCAGTTTAACAAAGACAGTTAAAACACCTCCCCTTAGTTTACATATCCTATTGGCAGTAGCAACTGGAGTAGAATTCGGGGATGGGATTCAACTCCAAATTAGAGACCTCAGGGCCAAATTACAGATGCTTTGTGCCTGTGTGTACATGAGGTAACTGGAGTCCTCCTGAAGTTTAGAGGAGGTCTGGTCAGTGGAATATGGGAGGTGATTTAGCTTACCTTAAAGTAGACACCTACATTTGATTAATGGCGCTTGGCTGTAATGGGAACATAAACACCTGTGTTTGGATACTTTAATCTGGAGATGAATCCCACCATGAGTCACCTATGGTCAGAAAATCAGCTTGTCTGTCTTTAACCTTGTACCTGGTCTGAACATGTAAAATGTAGGCAGCTCTGAAAAGCAGACCACTGCATGCTCCAGTATTTTCTAGTATGAGTGTGATTTTGTCACTGCTCTCCAGATCTGCTTTCTGCATATTTTGGGGAATTCATGAGTAGAACAAGTTTGTGTTACAGTTTTGTATGTAATCTACTTCTAAAGTTTCCAGATGCTTTAATGCTTGCTGTGTGTGGCTGCAGGTGGTTATGACTGAGGCCCTAGCCTAGCATCTTGCTATAAATGTAAGATTAATATTATTGAGTGGGAGGGCACGTGCCATATTCCATTTTCTTTGATATAACTTTTATTACCCTTTCAGAAACTGCTTATTAGAATTCTCATACACAGTTCTGAAATGAAGACAGGAATTTGGAAAGTGAATCCATCGTCTAATTCTGTTCTCTGTAAAATGAAACTTCTGAGAATTGTAGCACATGGAAGGAGGACCATTGGGTTGCTTCTGTAGTCTGTAGAGTAGAGAGTAATTTCTCACCTGCTGTGCTTTCTCAACTAACATATCACCAATGTTTTCTAGCTCCATCACTGCAAGACAGCACTTTGGCTGGGTGAGTTTAAACTAAAATATCTTTACTCCTAGCTGTCCTAACTATAGCTGCCTTGATTCATCATCTCTGTAGTTGGGAAGAGCAGTATAGACACCTGGGTGCATGATGAAGACCTGTGTCAGTAATAACACAATCATATTTCCCTCCCCCAGTGATGGCATTTGAATGTGTCACACTACATACCTTGTGATTTTCAGAAACTATGGTTCTGCCCTGTATGCTCAGGTTGGGCTAGCTTGAATTGCTGCTATCGCTTGTCTCTACTCAGTAGGATCACTGCTTCTTTCCTTTCATTCTCATGTTTCCAAAAATAAATCAGTATGTAGTAGACCTTAGAACATTTAATTTTCTCTGCCTGTTAATTGTCTCATCACAAGTTGATCTATGCAATCTTTCGTCCAACGTCCCTGAACCTCAAAAGCTTCTTAGCAAGTCGAAGATCTTCTTTTGCTGTGTTGCCCATAGACTTTGCTAATGATTCTAGACATATATTATCAAATTAATTCACCTTTCTTACTGTGGCCCCACAGAAGGCTGTTGCACAGGGCCACATTCTAAAAACCTGTGGGTTAAGAACAGTTTAGTAATTGAAATAAAAGTAAAACATAATAATGCAATAATAATAATGGTAAAGAGAGAGGAAAGAATAAACTTCCCCCCCTTCCCCCCCCCTCAAGTGGTGCACAGCACAGTTGCTCACCACCAGCTGACCAATCCCCAGCAGCAGTCAGTGCCTCCTGTGAGCTCCCCCTAGTTTCTATCCCAAGCATGATGCTTTGCGGTGTGGAGTACCCCTTTGGGTGGTTTGGATAGGTGTCCCTCCTGGTTTCTTGTGCCCCTCCTCACTCCCAGTGCATGAGACTGAAAAGTCCTTGATCAGGGAAAGTGCTACTGAGCAATAATAAAACCATCATTACAGAATCATAGAATAGTTAGGGTTGGAAAGGACCTTAAGATCACCAAGTTCCAACCCCCTGCCATGGGCAGGGACACCTCGCTCTAAACCATATCACCCAAGGCCTCGTCCAACCTGGCCGTGAACACTGCCAGGGATGGAGCATTCACAACCTCCCTGGGCAACCCATTCCAGTGCCTCACTACCCTAACAGGAAAGAATTTCCTCCTTATATCCAGTCTAAACTTCCCCTGTTTAAGTTTTAACCCATTAACCCTTGTCCTGTCACTACAGTCCCTAATGAAGAGTCCCTCCCCAGCATCCCTATAGGCCCCCTTCAGATACTGGGAGGCTGCTATGAGGTCTCCATGCAGCCTTCTCTTCTCCAGGCTGAACAGCCCCAACTTTCTCAGCCTGTCTTCATATGGAGGTGCTCCAGTCCCCTGATCATCCTCATGGCCTCCTCTGGACTTGTTCCAACAGATCCATGTCCTTTTTATGTTGAGGACACCAGAACTGCACACAATACTCCAAGTGAGGTCTCACGAGAGCAGAATAAAGGGGCAGGATCACCTCCTTTGACCTGCTGGTCACGCTCCTTTTGATGCAGCCCAGGATACGGTTGCTTTCTGGGCTGCAAGCGCACACTGAATCCAGCTCATGTTCATTTTCTCATTGACCAGCACCCCCAAGTCCTTCTCCTCAGGGCTGCTCTGAATCTCTTCTCTGCCCAACCTGTAGCTGTGTCTGGGATTGCTCCGACCCAGGTGTAGGACCTTGCACTTGGCATGGTTAAACTCCATGAGGTTGGCATCAGCCCACCTCACAAGCGTGTCAAGGTCCCTCTGGATGGCATTCCTTCCCTCCAGCGGATCAACCGAACCACACAGCTTGCTGTTATCGGCAAACTTGCTGAGGGCGCACTCAATCCCACTGTCCATGTCAGCGATAAAGATGTTAAATAAGACCGGTCCCAACACTGATCCTGAGGGACACCACTCATTACAGGTCTCCAGCCGGACATTGAGCCATTGACCACAACTCTTTGTGTGCGGCCATCCAGCCAGTTCTTTATCCCCCGAGTGGTCCATTCATCAAATTGATGTCTCTCCAATTTAGAGACAAGGATGTCATGTGGGACAGTGCTGAACGCTTTACACAAATCCAGGTAGATGACATCAACTGCTTTACCGCTGTCCATCAGTTCTGTAGCCCCATCATAGAAGGCCACCAAATTGGTCAGGCAGGATTTCCCCTTAGTGAAGCCATGCTGGCTGTCACCAAGCACCCTGTTGTTTTTCATGTGCCTTAGCATGCCTTCCAGGAGAATCTGCTCCAAGACTTTGCCCGGCACAGAGGTGAGACTGACTGGTCTGTAATTCCCTGGGTCATCCATTTTCCCCTTCTTGAAAATGGGGGTTATATTTCCGTTTTTCCAGTCGTCGTGAACTTCACCTGACTGCCAGGATTTCTCAAATACGATGGCCAGCAGCTTAGCAACTTCATTCACCAGCTCCTTCAGGACCCGCGGATGGATTTCATCAGGACCCATGGACTTGTGCACGTTCAGATTTTTAAGATGGTCTCGAACCAGTTCCTCTCCTACAGTGGGCCCAAGGTCTTCATTCTCCCAGTCCCTGTGTCTGCCTTCCAAGACTTGGGTGGTGTGGTCAGAGGCTTTGCCAGTGAAGACCAAGGCAAAGAAGTCATTCAGAACCTCAGCCTTCTCCAAATCCTGTGTAGCTAGTTCACCCGAGAGCTTCCTGAGGGGGCCTGCGTTCTCCCTAGTCTGTTTTTTATTTGCTATGTACCTGTAGAATCCCTTCCTGTTATCCTTAATATCCCTAGCCAAGTTTAATTCTAACTGGGCCTTAGCTTTCCTAACCTGGTCCCTAGCTTCCCGGACACCCTCCCTGTACTCTTCCCAGGCCGCCTGTCCTTGCTTCCACTTTCTATAGGACTCTTTTTCATTTGAATTTTCCTCAGCAGCTCCTTATCCATCCAAGGAGGTCTCCTGGCCCTCCTGCTGCACTTCCTTCTAGTTGGGATGCAGCACTCCTGAGCTTGTAGCAGGTGACCCTTGAAGACCAACCAAGAGTCTTGGGCCCCCCTGCCCTCTAGGGCTGTATCCCATGGAACCTTACTAAGCAGGCTCCTGAAGAGGCCAAAGTCTGCTCTCTTGAAGTCCAGGGCAGGGAGCTTGCTGCACACTCTTCTCACTGTCCTGAGGATCTCAAATTCGACCATCTCATGGTTGCTGCATCCAAGGCTTCCCTGGAGCGCCACATTTCCAACGAGCCCAGGTGAGCAGGAGGTCAAGCATGGCACCTCTCCTTGTCAGCTCCTCTATTACCTGCAGAAGGAAGTTGTCTTCCACACAATCGAGGAACCTCCTGGATTGCTTGTGCCGGGCCGTACCGTCATTCCAACAGATGTCAGGGTGGTTGAAGTCACCCATGAGAACAAGGGCCTGCAAGCGTGAGGCTCTTCCTATCTGCCTATAGAGTGCTTCATCCACAGATTCCTCTTGATCAGGTGGTCTCTAACAGATCCCCACAGTAATGTCTCCCATCACTGTTCTCCCTTTAACCCTGACCCACAAACTCTCTGTTAACTGCTCACCCATCCCCAGACAGTTCCATACTCTCCAGCCTATCCCTAACATAAAGGGCAACTCCCCCTCCCCGCCTGCCAGGCCTGTCTTTTCTAAAGAGTCTGTAAGCTTCCATTCCAACACTCCAGTCATAGGAGCCATCCCACCATGTTTCTGTGATGCCTTTTATATCATACCCCTGTAAATGTGCACACATCTCTAATTCCTCTTGTTTGTTACCCATGATACGGGCATTTGTATAGAGGCATCTGAGCCGAGCTCCAAATGAAGTCGGCTCATTGGCTGGAGCAGCTGGAATATCTCTACATTGCTCTAAGCATTTTTTTTATTATGGTCAGCACTGTTCTCAAAATAAAGCAGAAATGCAGAATTGCACCAGATACTGGGAAGAGAAATAACTCTGCCCCAGCCAAAACCAGGACAGTACCTACCTATTCCATGCCATTTGTGTCATGGCAGTGCACCAGCACCTTTCCTGCTTTTCAACGTATGTACCTGTGCATCCTCTGAACCCCCTTTTTTGTTAGGCTGCATTGAGAGAGGGAACAAAGGTATCTGAGCAGGGCCAGTTTCTTTAAGATGCAAAAAATTTATAATGAGGTATATCTCTCCCTGTGCTTTGCAGGTTGCTATCTTAGCTCCTGGCTTAAAAGTTACAGTGTGTTGGTAGCTGCACTTAGTTGTGAATACTGATACTAAGCAGCTTCTTAGACGTGGTCTGAAGTCCTCCTAGCAACCTGCTGTCATCTAGGGGACAGCTTGAGTCTCAAGCATTTATTTCCCCCCCCCTCTTTTTTTCTCTTTTTGTTCTTAAAACTTCTAAAGTCCCTGAACCTTTCATCCGGTGTGTTGTTGCAGCCCTCTTGAGGCTGGAGGCTGTAAACAGTCTGTTTCCTGGTCTCTAATATACATCCTGCTATTATGTGGTATCATGGAATTAAACTATTTGTTTAAAGTTGGCTGGCATGTAATCTTCAAGGTTTTGGGGGGGGAAATTTCTCTTACCTTAGGGATTTGTGATAAAAATTGATAATAATTGTGATAATGATTGTAATAATTGATAATGATTATGATAATAATTGTCTTGCTGTTACTGGCGCCATGTTTGTAATCTGAGAGTAAAAAGGAGTATGTAAGCTTGGAAAATTATTTTTTCCTTCATCTTTTGACAGATCTCTTAGCATGTCTCTTGGATGCTTGGCCAGGCCAGACACTGTTGAAAGGAGACAGCTGTCCCGGAGGCCAAAGAATCACAAACCTCTTGACATAAAAGATTTTGAAGACAAAGTGGAACAGGACATGCTGAGGAGAAAAGGTTTCTTTCATGTTCTTCCTTCTGTTTTGGGAGGGAGTGCCTTCTATAAGGTGGCTTGTAGAAGCAGTTTCTGAAGTGTGGGTCTGTATTTTATGGTTTAAAGGGTACTAGCATGCTCACAAAATCCGGTCTAATTTGGGAAGCAAGATTAGAATGAGGCTCTGTATCTGTACTTGCTTTGATTCTATATGCTTAAGTATGTCCTCTACCCAGTTTAGTGATTTATATCAGGAATCATTTGATATCATGCTTGTAACTGTGGGTACTGGGGAGACACTTTGGTGGAGAAAGTTTGGGACACTGAAGTGTGGTGATATCATTTCAGGTTTTGATCTGTGGAGAATGAATAAAATTTGTTTGAATGATTTCAATTCTGTATTATGCAAGTCCCGATAATAAATGTGTCTCCTGTGACCTTAAATGCTTTTTCACATAAAACTTGTTTTTAAACTTTCTAAACAGCACAGAGCTATCTTGTGGACTCAGAAATGTCACCTGGGAGTCAAGCAACCATGCTGACAAGTGTGGGTACAGGCAAGAGAAGGACCCAAGGATATTCTCAGGACTTAGTCCTTGATCATGAGCATGTTGACATTATGATTCCTGTATCTTCAAAATCGCCTGAAAACCCACCAGAAGGGAAGCAAGATCATTCCCAGTGGACTAACCCAATGGATCAGCTCTCTGTTTCAGAAGAAGTGGTGGTTGGCAGTGAGTACTATGGGTTAGGACTTGGGGCTTAGCAGGTAATACCTGAAATCACAGGATGGTTAAGATAGGGAGGGACCTCGCAAGGTCATCTTCTCCAACCCCTCTGCTCCAGTAGGGCCACCCAGAGCGGGTTGCACAGGTCTCAGTCACCCTCACAGGGAAAAATTTTTTCCTGATGCTCAGACAGAGCCTCCTGTGTTCGAGTCTGTACTGGTTGCTTCTTCTCCTGGAACTGGGCACCACTAAAAAGAGCCAGGCTCTATCTGCTTTACACTCTCAGTCAAAGCTCCCTATGCTTTCCGTGAAGTATGGACAGCTGATGTTTCATTTAGGGTTTTTTATGATCCTTTATCAAAAGGGCCATGGTATTTAAAAAATGGTTGGTGAATTCAGTACTGCTCAATCCAGGAGAACAGTTCTTGCCCTGGAAACCTTAGAAGTGAATCAATTCCTAGTGGACTGTTGCCACATACTCTGCTTCTGGAGGATTGTCTGTGGCATGCTGGAGGGAAAGGTTGTGTTGAAAGGACAAGAGAAGAGATCAATAGAAAAAAGTTGGTTGCTTTGAAGAGTCCAGCGGTAGGCACTGTGAGGACAAATGGAGAGATAACATGGGGACTGGATCAAATGAGAGGAGGAGGAGGAGGAGGAGGTTAAGAGTGTATCTGAAAGATGCTGGAGGTTGTAAGGCATTACGGTCAAATGTGAACGGTTACCTAGGTCTGCTGTTTTACCAAAGGTAGCTGATGCCAGTGTTACTTCACAGTTTGAGCTGGAAAAATAATTGCAAAGACTTTTCCAACTGTTTCCTGAGATTCAGTGTGAACTCTGAGCTGTTCCGTGCAAAGAAGGAATGTTTTCTTGTGTGTACTCTCTGCTTGATTGGATTTTTTTACTTGGCAGGAAAGTGAAAAGAAAGTTTAAAAAGAGACTAGGAACACATTACTGCTCTCAATTACTAGCTGTTAATAGACGGAGCTCCTTTTTGCCATCCTGAAGTTCAAGTAAATGTTTGGGCTCCCCAGTCACTCGAAAGCCTAAGAGATCTTTCAGCAAGTCTTTGGGCCCATATAATTGAGGTCCTAGATGTAAGTGATATAGAAGAAGAGATGGCTAAGACAGTGAACAGGGTGGATCAGGAAGAGAATTTCAGAGAGGGTAAGAAGTGCTTTCAGTGTTGGAAGGGAATGCAGTGCTTTAATCTGATTAAGAGTTTTTTAGGTGACTCACAGAGTGAAATCAAGAGTTAATTGTTCAGTAGATGCTAGAGATAAAGTAATTGAAGTTTCATCAGAGAGAGACTGATGCTGTGAGCATTTCCAGACAAGCTTTCTCAAAGGAGGCTGTGATTTGCTCATGTGTTTTCTTGTCAGTATTTCCTCTGTTCACAGTTCTGCAAATGGAATACAGGTTCGTATGTTTTGATAGGTCCATAGTACTGATCATCTTCCCAAAGGAAAGATGAATAGCTACCTGCTGGCAAGGAATGCATCTGGCTAGTCATTCTTTTGGTTTGTATACATTCTAATGCTTTACTATAATTATTTAAGCCATGTTGGCTGTTACCTGTCTTCAGTACTAACCAGCACCTTTCTCTCTTTAGACAAGAGCTTGAAGGGTGCCTTCTAGTAAGTAGTGAAGATCTAGTTGTCCTGGGTTTAGCAGTAGCAGTCAGTTTTTCTCTTTCCTGGTAGCTGGTGCAGTGCTGTGTTTTGACTTTCAGCTGGGAACAGAGCTGATAACAATGTTTTGTGTTGGCCAAGGACTTTGTGAGCCTCATGCTCTGCCAGGGAGGAGGGAAGCTGGGAGGAAGCAGAGACAGGACACCTGACCCAAACTGACCAAAGAAGTATTCCGTACCACAGCACGGCATGCCCAGGATGTAACTGGGAGAGTGACCCGGAAGGGGGCTAGGGTGGACTGCAGGGTTGGAGGAGGTATCGGTCGGTTCTTGGTTGGACTGGGGTGGGGCGAGTTATCGGTCGCCTGGTGATGGGGTGTTGTATTCTCTTCCCTTGTTATTTCCTTTATCATTACTATTATTTGGTGGTAGCAGTAGTGATTTGTGTTATACCTTAGTTACTAAACTGGTCTTATCTCAACCCGTGGGAGTTGCATTTCTTTTCGGTTCTCCTCTCCATCCCTCCAGGAGTAGGGGGAGGGCAAGAAGCAGGGGGGGAGTGAGTGAAAGCTGTCTGGATAGGGTTAAACCACAACACCAGTTTAGGATCCTTTTTAAGTCTTTTCCATTGTTTCTTTCACAGAAGCAGCCTCTTCAGAAGAAGAGGGAATAGCAGAAGCAGGTGTTGAATACCACGGCTCTCCTGAACCTGGTGAGGACAACCTCTAATACTGAATCTCTAATGCCAGAGATGTCTCAAGATGGCATTATTGGCATCATTGCTGGGAGAGATACTTGTTAATTCTGCTTGCATTCTCGAATGGGCTAAATACTGGGAAAACAGCAAACTAATTTTAAGCTGAAAGATTACATTCTGCTCAAATGGGAATCAAAATTGCTTTGGCAATAGTGTTTAGAAACACAAAATTTCAGAAGGCATCTTCAGTTAAAATTTACCAGTGGAAGTTCTAGAATCAGGCAGAGATTGATAAAATTTGGAGATCTTCTGAGTGTGTTTGCAAATCAGGATCTCCGAAGTTACTTTCCCTGAATTGTTGGGTCTTCTGTGTTCAACGTGCTGCATTAAGGCTTTGGTATGACTTTTTTTGAGATAAAAGTACTTACTAAAGGGAGTTCATTTCCAAAGGAGCTCAGATAAAAACTGCACTCAAATCTCATGGTCTCCTCCACATTACCAACTGCTGGTTTTTTGTTTTGTTTTATTTGACAACTAGATGTAGCAGAGGGAAAAGCTGAGGGTTTTCAATGCTTTAGCTTGTCTAGTTTTGTGTGCTGGTGCTTTATCCTTTAAGATACAAATATAATTGGCGGCAGTGTTGTCAGGAATGGAAAGTTGGGTTTTGTTCTTATGAGTGCTCTGAAAATTTTGGCTGTGGTACTTGTTTCAGTGATGTATTTTTCTTGTCTGGAAATCTAGAGTGTGAGATTGCCCAAGGTATTGGAGCTGGAAGTCTGAGTAAGCATTCGAATCCTACCTTTGAAAAATCTGAGGTGGAGCCCTTCGAGAGTGATGTTGAAGAAGCAGACGAACTACAGGACCAGCCTATTTTGATAGAATTGGATAGTCTAGAAGAGTCTACTGAGGATGAACCTGAAGACGCTGAGAATGAAAGTAAGTAGTACCTTCAGCAGCAGCAGAGGCAGTTGGAGAAATTTTTCCATTATTTCTTGATAGATTAGGGAACAACACAGGATAATAACATTATTAACTGTTTAGTCCATCAAGTAGGCCAGGGGAAGCTGTTGGCTGCTGTTCCTAGGGCCAGGTTTTACTGCCTCATCAGGTGCTTCAGGGACATAGATAATCTTGTACTTTTGAAGCTGAAAGAAATGGAAGTGCACAAGTGGATGAAACTGAGTGTAAAGTGGTTTTATAGAAGTGACATGGGGATATCATAGAACCAAATAATAGTTCGGGTTGGAAAGAACCATAAGATCATCTAGCTCCAACCCCCCTGCCGTGGGCAGGGACACCTCACACTAAACCGTGTCACCCAAGGCTCTGTCCAGCCTGGCCTTGAACACCACCAGGGATGGAGCATTCACAACTTCCCTGGGCAACCCATTCCAGTGCCTCACCACCCTTACAGTAAAGAACTTCTTCCTTATATCAATCTAAACTTCCCCTGTTTTAAGTTTTAACCCGTTACCCCTTGTCCTATCACTACAGTCCCTAATTAATAGTCCATCCCAGCATCCCTATTGCCCCCCTTCAGATACCGGAAGGCTGCTATGTGGTCTCCATGAAGGCTTCTCTTTTATTCCTTCTTTCCTGACTCCTAACTTCGTACTAACTTTGTAATGTCTTAGCATGGAACTGCTGCTTCTACCGCCATTCATGAGTCCAGACTTGAAACTTAATATAGAACCCCATGTTTTGTATGTGCAGCTGCATATTTCCTTTTCCAATTAACCAAAAAGAGTAGGCTGGTTTTCCAGAAACCTAGAAATGTCTGTTCCTAAACAGTCCTTCAGACACTGCATCAGTCTGTTCTGTTGCTCCAAGAGTACTTACGCCCTTTGGAAGAACTCATACACCAGACTGACTTCTCTTTGATCGAGGACATGTTTAAAAATGGCCAGAGTGTGTTTTGTAAGTTTTGGGACTGGTCTTAAAGTCTTTTGACCTACAGTATACACCCTGACATAAAACTGAACTAAGGACATCTTTAAAGAATCCCATTACCAGGATTTGAGGCATTGTGGGGAAATTCATCTGTAATGAGATATCAGGCCTGTATGTATTTGTGCAGTGTGGAAGGCACAAAGATGACTGTTTTGCTGGCACACTTCTGCCACAAGGAAAGCTGTGAGGGTTTTTAGGTTGTCTACAACAGTGTGTCAGTGTGGTTGTCTTTATGAAGAGATGGAAAGGTCTCGATGAAGAGATTGGTGCTGGCAGGATGAAACAAAAAGAGTAGCATCTCTTCCTGTTAGACAGTGGGATTGAGCACCCTCAGCAAGTTTGCTGATGACACCGAGCTGTGTGGTGCAGTTGGCACGCTGGAGGGAAGGGGTGGCATCCAGAGGGACGTGGACATGCTGGAGTGTTGGCCAATGCCAACCTCAGGACACACGCTACCTGCCAGTATGTGCACACACGGTGTGTATTAGCATGTATGTGCAACATCTGCATGCACATACAATATCTAGCAGTGTGCACTTGCAGTCCAGAACCCTGCCATGTGCTGGGCTGCATCAAAAGGAGCATGAGCACCAGCTCGAGGGAGGGGATTCTCCCTCTCTGCTCCTCTCGGGAAGACCCCACTTGGAGTACTGTGTGCAGTTCTGGTGTTCTCAGTATAAGGAGGACATGGAGCTGTTGGAGCAAGTCCAGAGGAGGGCCACAAGGATGATCAGGGGACTGGAGCACCTCCCGTATGAGGGCAGGCTGAGAAAGTTGGGGCTGTTCAACCTGGAGAAGGGAAGCTCTGTGGAGACCTCATAGCAGCCTTCCAGTATCTGAAAGGGGCCTACAAGTGTGCTGGAGAGGGACTCTTGGTCAGGGGCTGCCGCAAGAGGACAAGGGGTGATGGACTTAAACTGAGATAGGTAAGTTCAGGTTAGATATAAGGAAGAAGTTCTTTATTGTGAGGGTGGTGAGGAACTGAAACAGGTTGCCCAAAGAAGTGGTTGGGCAGAACCTTGGAGCAGCCTAAACTAGTGGAAGGTGGCCCTGCCTGTGGCTGAGGGTTGAAACTGGGTGGGCTTTAAGGTCCCTTCCAACCCAAAGAAGTCTGGGATTCTGTGATACTCACTGACTGGCCCCTGTAATGTGATTTTTTGTTGCTATGCTCATCCCTGTGTTAATGACAATTTGACACTGATTTAGCAGGATGGTAAGGAGGTAGCTTGCAGACTTTGAAGCTCTCTATGGGAAAAGAGGCAGCAGCTTTGGCAGCCTCAGTCCACACAGCCAACTGCCCCTGTAGCCTGACTCCAAGCATGTCCAGCACATGAGGGAAACCACCAGCTGATGTGGCTGCACGTGGAGTGGGTGGCATTGCAGCAGGAGGCAGTTGCTCTGGTTCAGTGTGCTGTGGAGCCACAGCCTGGGCACAGGCAGCGTGGCACCAGAGCTGGTGTGTGAAAAGCTGGCTGGGCTTCTGTCTGCTGCTACAGCACTGCCTGCTGAGGACCTCTGAAAGTAGAGTCCGGTTCCTTAAGTACATTTTGTCCACAGAGGATTTCATGAAGACACCCCTACTTGTCCATGATGAAGTCCACAAGCCACCACTGTTAACTCCATCACCTGCAAAACCTGCTTCTCCTGAGTAAGTATGAGCAAGCTTCAGCGGTGGCCTGATAGAAGTGTCTCTGGGAGGTCTGAATGCCAGGGAGAGTGAGTTGAGCCCTGCTGCATTGGCTGTTCTGTGCTTTATCAGCGGCACCAGGGAGTAGAGTCCAGCCACTGTTTTAGCAGTTGAATAAAGGCCTATCAAGCAAGTGTCATCAGAACCACTAATAGCAGGGCCTGGGGAACTTTATTTTTTTTGTTCATTGAAGCAGTAAATGGTAAAACCAAATTCTTGTGCCTTTTCCTGCTGTGAACAGAGATGAATAATGCTTCCAGAGTTGCTGGATGATTGCTCTAATCATGAATAGTAAAATATATTTAGAAAAAGGAGTCCTTGATACTCTGCTGAAGTGGAACTGTGTTAAAATTATGACAGTGGAATAGAGGTGACCTGTGGATGCCCCAGACTTTGTGCACTCCTGCTACACATCCTACAGGGATGCGATGAAAACTTCATTGGTATACTGGAGAGAACTCTGGTTTGCCAACTGTTATACTGACATGCTTATCTTGGGAAATTCAGTCTGGGTTGCTTCTCCCAAGGTTATGATGCCATGTGAACTGTTCACAAACTGAACTTCATGGGCATGAGGGATTTGAGTAATTGGGAGAGAAAAAAAGTTAACAGCTCAAAGTAGTTCTTTGCCCTTCAGTTCAGCATAAGGTTTGCCCAAACTCAGTACTGTGTTCTCTCCCTCTACTCTGTGTTTGTTCATTTGATGTGTGCATTTTCATTTTGCCTCAAAGGCCTCTTCTGCAGCCACAGCAGGCAAAGCAAGTTCCAAAGCGCTCACGGAAAAAAACACTGAAGCCTGAACTGCCAAGTAGCTTGATAAAGAGCGTATTTAAGGACTATGCGAAAATGCCAGTGGCCGCACAATCATTCAGAGTTGTTGAAGAATGGTAAGTGGCAACAAACTGCTTCCATTCTCACTCATTTTAGTGGGTTTTGGGGTTTTTAGTTTTGTTTTTTGTTGTTTTGGTTTTTTTGGTGTGTGTTGTTTTGTTGGTTTTGGTGTTTTGTTGTGGTGGTGGTTTTTTGTTTTTGTTTGGTTTTGGGTTGGTTTTTTTGTTGTTTTTTTTTCTTCTGGTCCTCTCCTGAAATAACAAACGCATCAGGAGGGCTGCTGACAAGCAGAGCGCCCTCCCTCTTCAGGTGGGGAGAGTCACAGGAGTTCCGACCAACAGGACAGAAACGTGGCAGGTGATGTTGGTCTCTGTGTGGCTCTGGAAAACTGTTCTTGTGCTGGGCAAGGTGAAAGTGTCCCACTTGTGCACTGTTAACATTGGGACCCCTTTTTCTCAGTTTCTTGAATTCATGGACCATGTTACCTTCATGAGTAAGACGTGTGGGTTGTTAGAACAGCCGTACCACAAGAGTGAACAGTCTGGTAATCAGTGCTGGTTTTCCCCTGGGATTAACCCCTGTTCTTGCACGTGTGGGCAGTTTGGGAAGGCTTCTGGCTGCAGTTGTGCAACTCATTTGCAGCTGTCTTGGCTGTAAAGTTCCAGGGCACCCAGACTGAGAAGCCAAACTTTGTTCCGGGGCTGGGGTTTCTTCTCCCAGTTTTCAGTGGCAGGCTGTGACCTGCACAGTGAGCAGCTCTGACGCAGCTTGCCCTACAGAAGTGGGTGGGTAGCTGGTGCTCACACACTCCACAGCCTGACCTCAATCCTCCTTCAGCACCAAGAAATACTTCAAGAATCTCTGGAGTGATCTGACAGCTTTGGCCAGCCATTCCAAGAGGAAGATATTGAATGTGTCTGACATAGAAGTCCTCATGAGAAGGTAACAGGAGGGTTATCTTTAACCTGTAGTAATCTTATGTGGTGCTTTGATAGCCCAGTAAAACAATCATTGACAGAGTGTGCACTAGCAGTTATGTATTTCAGCAGGAAATGTGGTATTGCGTGATTTACTCTTTACAATGCCACTTGGCCTTCTGTCCCAGGAGGGAATTGGTGGACTTGAGTTTTTATACTCCGCACTGGTGGAGGGGCAAGAGTAAGTAGTGAAGGGTTGGGAGCACAAGGAGCCATCTGATAAACTAGTAGCAAGAGGAGGGGCACATATGCAGGGGTGAAGCAGTTACAGCTGCAAAATAGGTAGTGTTAGTCATAAAAGCAGAGTAGCAGCATGTGTGAGGTTGGGCTGCATCTTTTGCATCCCTGAGTGACTTCTGCTAAAAGTACTTGCAGTGGAAACAGTGTGAGCATTTACACATGTCCTGCTCTCTGGTCTGATCATTTACTGTTACAAACAACACCCCTCTCTCCCTGCTGCTGCAGCTGCTGGTACTTGGGGTTCAACCTGGCAGCTCTTCAGAGCAGAAGGAACCTCTGGCCTGGGAGGCCAGGGCTGGCCTCTCCTGGCAGTGGCGCTCCCTGGCCAGCAGCCTGGAGGGATGGTTCTCAGAGCCTCTTCATTGCTGCTCTTCCCTGGGGTCTCCCTCAGCTGCCCCATCTCATGCCTGAATTTACTTTGTGCTGTTACCAAAACACAGGAATGTGATCTTGGCTTTGGAGCCCTCTTCAGTTCAGTGGGCCCAAAACAGTCATCAGTCATTTCAAGTAATCACTCCAGGTTATTATTCCTTGTTTCCACTGAGTTTCAGATGGGATGTTAAAGTTACCGAGGGATTGTGCAGGGCATGCCTGGTTGAGGGCACTGGTTTTGCATGGGCCTGTGTGTTGGACCTGGGGCTGTCAGAAATAATCACCTGTTGCTGTCCTGATCTGGAGATTTTCATTTTCCCACCTGACAGGTAAGTGCTGATGTTAGTATGAACAGGCTGAGAAACTTGGTTTTGTTGGCCATGGTTGAGGATTCTGAACACATATTTTACCTTTTTGTAGATGTCTAGGGGTTTTGGACAAGGGCCTGTAGGGACAGGACAAAGGGGAATGGCTTTGACCTGACAGAGGGGAGATTGAGATGAGATTTCAGGAAGAAGCTGTTCCCTGTGAGGGTGTGAGGCCCTGGCAGAGGTGTACATCCATGTGCTGGCCCTTGCCATGGTGAGCATGTGGCTTTGTGTGAGCTGCTGCAGTTAGCTGCTGTGTCCCTGTGTGTGCAGGTTCGCCTGGGCTCTGCACTGTGCGCAGGACCTGGAGCTGTGGAATGCAAAACAACCACTGCAAGAAACTTTACAAATTTTACTCTTGAGTAGAAACACTTCTCACTAACGACTCTGTCTTCTTTGCTCTCCTCTTTCTGAACCCAGACAAAAGCTGGTGACAGACGAGATGCCGCTGCATGTGTTGATTGAGCGTTACCTCCCTCTGGAGTACAGGAAGGTCCTGATTCCAGTTGCTGTGAGTGGAAATAAAGTGATCCCTGAAACTAAACGCAGCAGAAGCCGCAGGCTGCGGAAAGGTGCCTGATGGCTGGCACTGCTCCATGCAATGGTTTTCTACCAGTAACCAGTGAGGCAGTGAGCGGTCGACGTTTTCGGAAGATGATGTTGTGCTGTGGATGTTGCCGCAAATAATTTTACTATCCTGAATTTGTTGTAACCTTTGAATATTTGTGCATCATGATAAATAAAGTATGTTCTGCATGGTGCAAATGCTGCTCATGGAAGTGGGCTGAAAAGCTGCTGAATTTAAACTGACAGAGGGAAGACTGAGATGGGATTCACAGTTCTTCCCTGTGAGGGTGCTGAGGCCCTGGCACAGGGTGCCCAGAGAAGCTGTGGCTGCCCCATCCCTGGCAGTGTTCAAGGCCAGGCTGGACGGTGGTTGCTGCTTTACTTTGGATTGAACCTCCTTAGGAGTAAAACCCTGCCTAAACTTTGTACAACATCTATAAGACCTTGATGGGTCTTAATTTAGATGTGAAAAGAGAGTGAAATAACCACTTCCCAGTGTCCACCTGGTAAAATGGGGGTGAATAAGCTGCCCTTTGCTGATCCAAGGCTGATGAAGGAAAGTGGCTGGGAAGCACTGCAACTCATACCTTGCCCTACTGACCTAACCTCAGAGCTCTTGTTTCTCTCTGTCCCTTCACAACTGGCTCATCTCTGTCCCAGTGTAGGGAACATGAGGGAAAAATGAATCGGCCCATAGGCCTCAGCGTATAACTGAAGTCAAAGTATGGTGGGAGAAGGAAGAGCGCAGGTTGTGCTCATGCTGAGGGCTCCAGAGCATGATGTGCTGCATATTGGGGTGACTTTATCACATGTATTCCAACTTTGTTGCTTGGTCCCTGGAAGAGACTGTGCTGAGAATGGAACATTCAGCTGGGTACCTTCCCTGTGGCACAGGATCAGCCTTGCCTGTTGCCCAGGAACACTATATGTGTGCTCCCACATGAGGGGCATTATTCACTGGCTCTTCTTGGGTCTAGTTATTTAGGCAGAAGCCTTTTTGTTTGAGAGACAGTATGGGGAGGATGAAGAGATGACGACCTTTTAGATAGTTATTTCACACTTTGCAGTCCTATGGCATTTGCCCAGGGCTCAAAGATTAAGATGTCCTGAATGAAATACCAGTGATGCTCACTATAAAGCAGGAATTAATCTCCAGGTATTTGATTTGGAAGAGCTGTGGCTTGCCTTCTTATGCAGCTTCATTATTCCATTATGGTCTCATCAACCAACCAGTTCCATTTTCCTCATTGCGGAAGCATCTCTGGCCTTAAAATGAACATGAGGGATTGTAGCAAAACTTTGCAAGCCCTGAACTGCCTTCAGCTCTGTGTTAGGCCCTGCACCAGAGCACCGGCAGAGACGTTCAGGTGGAATGCATCTGCTTGAATGGATCACAGGTGTGCACAGTGCTGGAGCTCCTCTGGGAGCGAGTAAAGGGGAGCCTGGGTTTAGAGCCGAGCTTACAGCTGTCTGTTAGGCTGTGCTTATGAGGGCTTATTCATGACAGTGCTTTCCTGGGAATGAGAAGCTTGATTGTGCATCTGTGCTGAGAGCCTGGCCATAGGCAGGCTAGGAGCTGGGTGATCTGAGTCACCTGTTATCCAAGGTACAAGTGAGCAGGAGGGAGGAGCAGATAGTCCCTTCTGGGGGCAGTGCTGGCACCCCTGGGGGTTGTGTGGAACTTGATGTTTAGGCTTTATTGACAAACCGGGTGTTTGAGGTGGTGTGTGGTTGTTTCATGCCTAGTCCTGCTCACTAGCTTGCTTTCCTAGACATGGGAAGAATGCTTTGGATTCTGCCATGGATTTCTCCAGCCGCTGCTCTGTTTCAGGAGAGCACACACAGGGATGTGGCTGTGCTGAAGCCGGGAGGATGCGTAGGAGGCAGTTTCACTGCTTGCTGTGGTCATTGTATGCTTTTCCTGAGCTGCTGTTACTGCTTGAGGAAGGGCACTGCTACCAAGGCACCTTCAGTGCCCATGCTCTGACAAACGTGGGGAAGTGCAGCTGGTTTCTCTTATCCTGGGGCAGCAATAAGTGAGCCTCTGCTGCTGGGGCTTCAGGGCTGCCTCAGCAAGTTTGCAAATTACACCGAGTTGTCAGGCAGTGTTGATCTGCTGGAGGCTCTGCAGAGGGCTCTGGACAGGCTGGATCAATGGCTTGTGGCCAGTGGGATGAGGTTCAACAAAGCAAAGTGCCAGGTCCTGCACCTGCGTCACAACAACACCATGCAACACTCCAGGCTGGAGAGCAGCTTAGGGAAAAGGACCTGGGAGTGCTGATTGATAGAGCTGAATATGAGCACCTTGTGCCCATCCAGCCAAGAAGGCCAATGGCTGGGAAGCAATTGCCTCCCTGTACTTGTACTGGGCACTTATAAGGCTGCACTTCAAATCTTGTGTTCAGTTCTGCGCCCCTTACTCCAAGAAAGACTTTGAGGTGCTGGAGCAGGTCCAGAGAAGGGCAGTGGAGGTGGGATGGGGAATGGCTGAGGGAACTGGGGGGGTTTAGTCTGGAGAAGGCTCGGGGGGACATTATTGCTATCTGCAACTGCCTGGCAGGAGCATGGAGTGAGGTGGGGTGTAGGTTGGGATGTCTGCTCTGAAAACTATTCCCTCTTGCACCAGGACGGTCATGTCCTGTAGAAGAACTTGTACGTTTTATCTCTTCTGTAAATGCCCTCATTTTCCCCGCACAACAGGCTGCACAGCCGATGACCCAGTGCTAGCTTTCTTTGAAAGAGTGAAAAGTCACTACCATGTGCTAAGATACCAATGTCCAGTCACGGGATGGATACTGGGATAAAAAAGAGTGGCGTTTGTTGTGTGTTTTCAGGAGTACACAAGCTGAAGCAAGTATAGCTTTTAGTTTCAGGTCCAGGCACTGCTTTGTGGGGATTGCAGAGTGAGATTTGCGTCTTGCCATCTGTAGATCTATCAAAAAGCTGTCAGAATGAGAGGAAAAGCCACTCGGGGTTGTTGGTTGGAATCTCCATTGCCCATGGCAGTGGCTGTGAGCCAGGAGGCTTTTTCTTGAGGGCTGCCAGCTTTCAGAAACCTCTTGTTAGCTTGTCAGTGAGGAGTAAAACTCCCTGCTGTGCTGGGAATGAGGGGAATAATGGGATCCATGTGGGAGCCTGTGCCTCAGGCTCAGCCCCGTGCTGAGCTGCTGCTCTTCCTCCCCAGGTGCTTTGCTGCTCGTGCACTGACACGACAGGCTCTGCAGATCTGCTGCTTATTCAATGATCTGCTTGGTTTGTGGTGCATGGGGTGGTCCCCCCTCTCGGAGAACACCCTTCCCTTCCCTTCCCATCTGCACCTCCCAGAACCAGGAGACAGAGGTGCAGGGAGACTCCATGCCTTTCTGCCATGATGTTTTCACCATTGTGCCCATGGTAAGTGGTGGCTGAGAACCTCCCTTCCTGCTCCTCCTCCTCCTCATCTCTGAATGAGGTCCCTTGGCAGATCCTGTGTCAGCTGCTTGATGTGCCAAGAGAGGAGACATCAGGTTTCTGGTGAGGCTGGGGGCGCTTGTGGCAGAAAGCATTTCTGAACAGCAGCAAGAGCTGACCCCAGGCTGGGCTCTGCTGCAAGGGCTGTGAGTTAAGGGCACTTTGTGAGTGTCCTCACACTGTTCAGAGGTATCACTTATTCTCTGCAAGGACACATTTCCATGTAGCGCATAGGGGTGAAGAAAGAGCATTGGTGGACCGTCAGTGTAGGTAAGTGTCTGGGATCCACGGGCAGCCAGAATGAGCATGGAGATGAGCTTTGCCTGGCCCATGGCTGGTGGGCCCCTGTTGTGCCAGCTCAGAGGCTGCTCTCTGGGCAGTGCTGTTGGGGCTAAGGCCAGCAGGACTGAGGCAATGGAGCTCATCAGGGACGGCCACCTCCTGCCCACGGCTGTCCCTGCATGAGCACAGGCTGGCAGGGGCGTGCCCAGGTGAGTGAGGCCAGTAAGGGAGTGCTGGGATGTGCAGAGCAGCTCTGCTGCAGGGCCCGTCCCTCCTTGCTTTGCCCAGAGGTGGTGCCTGTGTGCCCTGTGGCTGTGCCATGTCCTGTGGGCCATGCACCCGCTCACAACCAGCTCTGAGCAGCTGCGACGCTGGCGTCTCCTCCTGCGCGGGACAGTCACAGGGCTGCGGTCACAGCTCTGCGGGCTGGACCTGCTGAAAGCTGCTCCAGTGAGAGCCTCAGCCATGGGACTGTCCAGGGGTGCTCCAGAGCTGACCTGTGCTATTCGTTGTCTGTAGGGCTCCATCTTCTTCCCCCTGCCGGATGGGACAGGGTTACGCTACCAGCTGGAAGGAGCTGCTGAAGCCCCCCGGTGTTCAGGGGCCATTTCCCGTCAGGTTCCATGCAGGAATTCCCTCACGGAGCTCATCCCTGTGTCCAGCTGGCTGCACAGGCTGATGCGCGGTCAGACTCCACAGCTTGTTAAAGTAGGTATGTTTTATTCCGAGCTGAGGCGCATGGGGGATAGCTCCTCCAAAAGCATGCACACTTCAACGTTGTTTCCCCTTTATCCTCTGAAGTTATACATATGCATGAGGTTGCATAACACGCATATACATATTCATGTCCTATCCCCTCTTTGTATCATAATGAACTAAGAAGTCCTTTGCACCTGTGCAGTGCCTCCTGTTGGTTGTGGGCGAGGGTCTCAAGATGAAGTAAATGGGTCTTCCTCAAGCCTGACATTTTTACCTCTGGTCATTACGCGTGCTCCCTGGAAGCTTGGTTATCATCCAAAACACAGAGCCAATTTCAGCCAGCCTAGGCATCCAAAGGATGGGAATTAAGCCACGGTCCCTTCTCCATCTCTGGGTGGGTAGTGATGACCAGAATGTCATCACACACCTACATGTACAGCACTGTCTGTGATCACAGGCTCCCGCTGGATTCTGCTGAGCACAGGGTGGTCCAAGACATTGGTAACCTGGAAGCAATGGGCAGTCGGGAATGTATCAAGTAGGAAGTAGAAGGACTTGGGGGCATTGTTGGGTGAGACACTCCCCATGACCCAGACGTGTGCTGGAGCCCAGACACCCCCCCCCCACCACTGCATGCTGGGCTGCACCCCCAGATCATGATCAGGAGGTCG